AACCTTTACCAGAAAAGTACCAGATTTCTTCCAGCCAAAATAGTATTTTGTCTTCGTATAAAATAGAAGCGAAGAAAAATCTTACCTACGCCACTACCAATGGCAGCCCTGTATCACAATTTGTATCATCAATAAACTCAAAAACTATCAAGCTTTCATTTCAACTAGCACGCAATCATTTCCAATAGTACAGATGCGGAGCGGTTACCTTGAAAGCTTCAGAACTGGTATCCGCTAACTTTGGGAATCTCATAAACATATGAAGGTATAGGTTTTCTGTGACTGTAATAGCTTTTTTTCTCACTCTGAATCACAGGATTATTTAATATAGCTATAACAGAGTGTATTTTGAATTTCTCAACTGATTTGAGCCGATTTTAAAATCAGTTACTGAATAATTTCATCGGTACATCCATAAACGAATCTGTTTTCTTCAAAACCAGCCCACTGCCTTTTATCTGTGTTGATCAGTCTATCAGTTGTAAGTATCTTTTTAAAAATTACCCGAATGCGATTTCGGTATGGGTTTTTGAAAACCATGTTTTGCTCTTGCAACAATTTCTATAGAGGCAGTTTAATCAGAAGATCTTAGTTGATAATGCAAAACTTCTTATCGGAAATAGAAGCGTTGAAAATCTTGCGATGCTTTCTATTCCATAAATTCTAGTTCGTTTTTAATTCACTCGCTAAAAACACATCGTAGTTCACAAAAACGGACATGGATTTTGGCATCCACGACTACCTTTCATTACTGATAGCTTTGACGTAGCCTCATTAGTCCTTTTGCAGAAGTTCGCCAAAGAGTGAGTGCTCATGATGTCTATTTAAATTTAGCGATCACTATACATTTTTATTTAGGGTGACGGTAGTGGTTACTGCTACATTCCATATGCTTACATGCTCAATCCACGTTTTATATGTCAAGAAGGTTGCTGGGCTCTGACTCGAATCGTATATAAGGGTCAAATGCAAACAAGAACATTTTGAGTTGTACTCAAGTCGATGACCTCTGTAGAATAATCGTACAAGTTCTTTTATAATCGGTTTCAAGATTGTACGGAAAAAAGCCTTCACGATATTTGTAAGATTATATTATAACATCGTGTGGAAACATTTAACAAGAGAAGAACAGATCTTATAGGATACATTTCATTTATATAGAGTTTTCGTATTTAATAATAAAGATGATTATTTTTCGAGAAACTTAATGAACATATTGACAGTGGAAAAGATGAGAAAGGGTGAGAGTACGCACAGTCAAGGAGAAAATAGGGCTGGCACTTTTCTAGTTACTCGGTAACTTCACTAGTCAGTTATTTTGTTACTTCTAAGGAACTTAGGTACTTGTTTACTAGTAACGAGTAACTTATTTCGTTACTTAGTACCTCTCATTACCAGTCCACAGGTAACGGTTTTTCGTTACTTTCTGGAGGAGTAACGAGAATAATGAAGTAACGAAATAAGTTACTCGTTACTGGTAAGAAAGTTACTAAGTTCGTTACTAGTTACAAGTAACATAAAGGTAGAGTGCCATCCCTAGGAGAATCAACTTTAAATTGTGCATGTTTTAACAATAACTGGAATCGAAATCAGTTAATAACTGTTCTCATTCTTGAATAATTGCAACACGATTACAGGTCGCTGTGATTGAGAGCTAGGATAACATACTCGAAAAGCTTGCGTTTTCCAGACTGAATGTGAGAAACCAGAGGACGAGTTGGTCTTAAAATATTAAATTAAATTAGGGTAACGAGGTAAACACAATAATATTTTATGCTGGAAGGAGCATTAACCATTTGCTGTTGTTATAAACAATTCATGTGTTAAACAAGTCATTTCACTGAAATAAATATAATAATTGTTCTAATCGTAAAAATAATCGTGTTTTTGATAGCATCCACCACACGGGCCATTGAGATTCTCGTCTAAGCTTAAATTTTACTTCGACTCGTGCACTCATTCTAAAAATATGTGTGAACGAGCAACTATTTTAATGATCATTAAAATTAACGCCTTTAAATGTGCCTTTATTGAGAGCATAAAAACGTCTTTGATTAGGACTTCGGACGCAGAACCCGCTTGAATACGTATTATTCAAACGCTTTAAAGCTGGTAAACATTAAAAACATAATTTCTTGTGGTGGAGTTTGAGTCAGAAAAACTTTAAAGACAAGGCATTTATATATTAATATACATTGATACTGTCTATAATCGCCGTAATTGAATTTGGTTTCGACATCAAGCTGTATTTGAAACATTCACGTTTGCTGTATTACCTTCTGATCAGAGGTGTGATATGCCTCTCTCAGAAGAGGACATATGAAATATAGCCGCGGTAGTGGGAGGTAGATGGTCAACACACCGTACTTTATGACTAAGATTATAAAGATAAACCTTTCTATACCTCTTCTCTCTATAAAGAAAAATTTGGTCTTGGTTAGAGATAGGAAAAAAAATGGCGAAACGAGTATCTCTAAGAACACGTAACTGAGATAAACGTTTCACAAACTAATAGTTAGTTTATAAAGCAGGCGATTGGTGCACGAGAGAACTGACCAAGACTAGGGTAAATATCTGTATGCAAGCCTGATTCAAGATAATTAGCTGGGTACGTTTGATTCTAATATATATAAAACATTTCATGATACTGAACACCTCTGTCATTTGACATAAATTTTGAAGTTATATTGTATCTACTGATACTGATACCATTATATATCAAAATAATGACGATTGTTCGTTTTACTTGTCATATGTTTTAGTAATTTAAGGGTAAGTTAGACAAGCATGAATATAAAACATAGAACTGTTCACAAATTGGCACAACATTTACTTAGATTCACTGTCTGTAAAGAAAGTCATGATAAGTTTTTAAGAAATATTAATAATCTCTTTCTAATTTTATTTATTCTACTAATCCGATGACGTTTCGACGATGAAATCGTCTTCCTGAGGTCAAAATATTTACAGTTTGAAGCATACACAACACTAAAACTATATATAGTGTATCACATGTTTTCCTCCTGTGTTTTGGTCTTTTCTTTTGATAGTGGTGCGGAGACAAGACGGCGATACTGGCAGAAGTTAGTTCTTTTCTTCCTCCGTATCAAAAGAAAAGACCAAAACACAGGAAGGCAACATGTGATACACTATCCATAAGCTATAGTTAAGGAGAAAATGATCTTTAAGTTGTGCATGTTTTTACAATGACTTGAATCAAAATCAGTTAAATAACTGTTCTCATTCTTGAACAATTCCAAGACGATTGTAGGTCGCTGCAATTCAGATCTAGGATAACACACTCTGAAAGCTTGCGTTTTCTAGACTGAATGTGAAAAATCTACAATTGTTTTTCTATTGTTTAACGCACACAGTGTAATGAGGAACGTAGCACAAATACAGGGGTGTGAACTACAATGACCGTTCGTTCTTAGGCTTGATATCCCACTAGTACACATTGGGCAGAAATGCATGGTGGTTTTGTGGAATTTGAACCTTGCTAAATCGATTAACGATGATTTCGGGATTCTTCACCACTGGAATATTTAGTAATTCGCAAAAAAAATCATGTATTTTCAAGTTTTAAGCCGAATTTTGGACTATCGATAAGATTTTATACGAGTAGCATGTTCTGAATAATAGTTATTGAAATTTCGAAATTACATGCGCTGTTTTTCTTTGATTAAAGTCTTATCGATCAACCGGGTCATCTAAAATACTACAAGATGTTTTTCTTTCCTAATCTATTTCGAATTTTTTCTTGAAAAATCTTAACCAATCTATATTCTATTATATTGTTATCTATGTATAACGTGGAAGGCTTTCTAAGTCGAAAATATGGACATGTTGTTAATTTGACTGATACATTCATCCGTTTGCCTGAACGATCAGACCCAATAGTCGCCGAAATAGTACAGAGAAGTTTGGTCAAACGTAGCCGACAAACAAGGCAAAGAAGAACTGTGTTATTGGAAGAGAATGCTATTGTGCTCCATATTAGCTTCGGACTGAAAAATATTTTGTATATATTTCTTACGTGTATGTTTTATATGTGATTTTTTCTAAAGCAAATAAAATACGAAAAACTTAAAATACTTTTATACAGTATCATCATGGACTCAAACCCGACCGCAAGAAATTATATTTGGTATCTTTCCCTACGTCAAAGCATTGAATAAAACGTGTTCAAGCGAGTTTAGCGTCCGAAGTCGTGAGTAAACGCGTTTTTGCGAAAACGAGGCAAACAAGACATTTTAAGACGTTAGTTTTACTGATTATTGAAAACTAGCAACCGCATTAGCGGTTAGTACTGACGTTATTAATGGTTTTGTACTAGGGCAATATGTCAATTTTCTTTAAAAATATCGTTAACCATGATAGACTGAGTCAGAAAACATTTCGTCACTACTTTAGCATGCTCAATGTCCACTGAAATGTTTGTCAAGATCAGACTTATACTTTAGGAGACAGGCTCCTGACGGGGAAGCTAAAGGATAGCACATGCTTGTTCGATTTATTAAGGTCGGAATCCACAATATTCCGTAAACATTTACAAGTGGCATGCTGTACTTATACGGGCTGAAATCATTGAATATGAAATTCTCTTCGAATAGACGATTATGCTAAAAAAAGAAAAAAATTTGCGTTCTGATATGAATTTTTGTGCACTTTTTCGTTTAATAGTAAATATTCTTGACGTCAAGTGTGTTTTTCTCTTTGTTTACATAATTCTCTCACTGTTCTTTCACAAAATCAGTACATTCATCATTTTAGAACGATACTGTGTGGTATTTTTCTTCTATTCAATACAAACATGTTTTGTTTGTCCACTGTCAATATGACATTAGTGTTCTGAACAAAACCTGTACAATAAATTATTTAAAATGTAGGCACAACAACACACTATGAACAGAATGAGATACTACTTCTATTAGTTCATTTATTATTCAGTTTAAAGCCGCATTGCATCTGTTTTTCATCTTCTGTATATTGTACTTTACCTATGGTGACGTAACGCTTATAGAAGTATCTTCATTTTTAAGTGTACTATTTGAACAAATATCGCACTCAGTCGTTTTATTCGCAACAGTCTCTTCGTTTGATGGATTGACAACTCTTTTCTGGCGACGACAACATACATCTGTCATGAGTAGCGGGTCTAGTCCAGCCTGAATTGGTTTCTGCTCACTGATGGAACTGTTTACTTTCCCGCTAGCAATTCGATATTGACCAGCGAAGGGCATAAACCAAAACCAACCGTCGTCACGTAAACAGGCAAATATATAGTAGCAAGCACCAACAAAATAAAGGATGTCACCATTTGTATACAAATAGTTTGTTCCATACTGATCAGGATAAACATTTATCTGAATGTTGTAAGTGATATAAACAAACGAACTAATTGTTGTGCATGTATAAGCTACCGTATCCGGATCATCCAACGTAAAACCACGACCGAGAGTACGAGTGTACGTGCGATACCATGACATGATCCTAGAGCAAAGAATACTACATTTTCCATTCACAAAACTACAAAGAATATAGAATCCCATTTCTTAGTATTCCATTTAAAAATGACATACCATCCAAACGAAGCTATTAATTCGACAAATGCTGCCGTTATTTCTATTTTATGTACTGACAATGTGTAATTATCATATAAAGATGATTCTTGAGGATACCATATTGAACTCCATAAATACAAGCCAGCTTCAATATGATTCAAATACTCAGGAATCATGATGACATCTGACCATGTATGATCTCGCCATGACCACCAGTACAAAAATGCTGAGATTACGTGAACAACTGCCAGTCCTAAAATACACTGTAAATGTGATCTGTGCATCAAACACTCTGTATTGTTCACTTAGTATTGCATTGGGTTAAACTTGGTGAATGCAGATGTGTGCAAGGATGCAGATAGATAGCTCAGTGCTTCATTTAGAGCATCTAGATGAAAGATTAAAAATATCGATTGATAAGCCACTAGAGGACCCAGATATAGGTGTCTGCAAGAAGAAAAGTAGACGCACCAATATATAGTCTATTCACTAACGGTGTATTTGCTGAAAAGTCGTCCGCACTTGTTGTATTACAACTGCAAGTTGTATCGCTATAATCGGTTGATGACGAGCTTGCAGTTCCATTCACATAAGGATTAAAATCGATAATTAATATTCCGATAGCATAGCCCTAAAGAAAGAGATGAACGATTTCGACCGCTTTCTTCCTATGACAGAGTATTCTTGAACAGATTCTTCCAAAAAATATGATCAGTATCATCAAGACGATAGAAAGTTTAATGGCTTTATGCCGACAAGTACAATGCGGATAAAACTAACAGTTCAAGTTTTGATTCCAGTGCATACTGGTTTTCGATTCTTAATCAATATCAAAACTGAACAAAGTTACCTATTTTTGAACTGATTCTTAGGATAACTGTCTGAAGATGTTTTGTTGTTGTATACATTTTCATGTGCTATGAGGAGCACCTGTAGCGTAAGAGAAGCGAAGCATGTCTTTAAGTTATCTCAGCTAATCGTTACTACACAGATTATGAAGCTGTCAATTATTTTTTGTGATTAAAAGTAGTGGCTTGATCATTATCAATGCATAAAACTTAGAGCAATATATTAAATGGGTGAACACATTACAAGAGCTGCCCACAATAAAAGACTCCCGTAAATAGAAGACCCCTCCTTGAACTCATCTTGTAAAAATTGAAGTAAAAGAGCGCTAGTTTTAAGTTTTTTTCGTGTAAATCTTCCAGTTTTCATAAGAAATATTGGGTTGGTCTATTGCTACCATCGCTGGGGGCAATTAGAGCTATTGACGCCGATAAGCGAAACTTTATGCTTGGTGGTATTCATTCGAGATAGATGTGCACCAGTTGCAGTCCACTGATTTATTAAGCAGTTTTCACTCAAATTGTTAGCATAGGGGTTTTGTCTAATGATGTAAATAGCTCCAGCTGGCACCAGCTAGCATAGGATTTAGCCTAATACTTTCCATAAGCTTCTGGTATCAACGGCTGTAGTTGACACCATCTGGTAGTCGCAATACCTCTAGTTGACATCATCTGCTTTTGGGAATAGCTCCCGATTCCCATCAATGGTGATGGCAATAAACATTCCGATAAATATTTCCTATTCAAAGCAAATTCTCTTTTCCGCTAAAAAAAAGGATAATTCTGCGCATGTGATAAAATGACAAATGTATCTTTTTTCTTTCACTCATCAACTGCTGTAAAAAGCACAATACATGTGATAAGAAATGCATGGAATCGAACGAAAGAGAATGCTCACTATGGCCACTATTCTCGCATTCTGTCATAACTGTTTGTGTTTCAATGACGTGTAATACTGTATAATAACTGAGACAAAATTCAAATTTGCTCAAAGCATGAACTTGAAAATAGCTTCCTTGATTATTAAGGACAGAATAGAAGACTCGGGTATTTTATTCTGTCATCCTCTTTATTATGAGTTAACTTTTAAAACTTCATAACATGTGGCATAAACACTCAAATAGAAACTTAAGCTCCAACAATTCGCTGTGACGAAACGTGCTTACTAGGTAGACTAAATTGGCCAGCATATATCGATTTCGAATGGTTTTCTTGGAACATATTGGTACTCGGCGTTTTATTTGAGTCCATGTCAAAGCTTCCCAGATGTTATTAAATGCCATAAGCTCATTATAAGGTGCAGTTTCATCATCAATATCTTTAATCATATTTTTATTACCCATCTATAATCACTGTTTCACCGATACTTTGGTTTGTCAATGTTGCGATTAATATTTTTCAAATATTGTATATTTTTCTCAAGTGCCTTTCTATATTTGTAATGCTTGAGTTGAATGATTGTTTTATTATTTTCAATACATGATTTATGCATGGAATAATTCACAGGACGCAAAGTTTTCTTTCAGCGAGTTCACCTATTCTCTAATGCAGCGGAAGATCCGATTTCTACTTGACGTTCACGTATAATAGAGGCATCACTGCAGAATAAAGTGTGCTTTGTTCAGAAATCTCGGGATATAGAAATTTGCAGATCCAATAAAAGTCTCTTCTGGTTACTGCAAAGTGAAAATTGTGATCTACCTAAATACGTTAATAACCAAATAACAACATGCGACTTATGACTCGAGTGTGATTTAAAAAGAAGTATCTCTAGTGAAGAAATTTAAAAAAATTGATTTTTTATAAATAAGGAAGATTTTCGCTTTTATGCTTATTTCTAAAATATCTCAAATATGTTTTTTTCCAATTGTCCATCCAAAATTACATATAGGAAAGTGAATTTGATCCAATTTGAACTTTAAACAAAAATAAAACTGTTGAATTCTAAGCAGAAGTTGAGATATTTGCTCATACTAAATTTTTCGATATGATTAAACAAAACATAGACTCTTATTTGCATTTGTGATTGACGAATTCCTTTCCAAGCAAATAAAAAGTATCGAGTATTGGGCAATCCTACCTGGGTAGCCCAATCTAATACCGATATACCTAAATACAAGTAAAAAGACAGTGTTGAGTACTGGACAATCCAAGCTGGTTAACTCAACAAAGTAGTCGCGATATATCTAAATAATCCAATATCTTACCCAATCCGGGATATTAGATTTACCATATGTCCAAGTAAGAAATCTTGTGAAGTATCTAGATATTTCGTTGTGGTATTGAGCAATTCTACTATGAAATATCTAGGTACAGGTGTCATTTTTATCGGATTATCTAGATATCTTAAGCATGATATTGCCCAATACCACAATAAAATATCTAGATATTTTTATATAAGATTTTTTACTTGAACTGTGGCATCTGAACAGTGTTAAAGGATACATTGTGGTTTAATAAATGAAGCACGTGTTTGTACCTGGTGGTACAAGAACGACTAGGATGGATAGAAATATTGGGATACAACATAAGAAACAAAGTAAAAACATAAGGGATGTGCCTCCTTGAGGTGTCATGCTTATATGGCAACCACTCTGAAAACCAGTTTACAAATTAGCTTAATGTAATATGAATCAGTAAATAAGCTTACCAGAACTTTTTATATCACGAATTAAGTATTTTTCTCGATTTCATTGCCGTACGACTAGACTCCTGCGGCAAACTTTTTTTTTGTCCTGACCCCAAGCGTCCCGTGAGACGGGGGTTAGTGTTGTTCCGCAGGAGCCTACGCATGATATTTCGAATTACTAACGTACATTAGAAATGTCAGTGCAATTACGTGTAACGGTGGATTACTACTCATTACAGTCTCGTCCCCCGGCATATTGGCATCATCCGGCAATCGCCGTCGCCGCGGATTCTTATACGTTAAAGTGTTAACGCTAGTGTTAACATTTTAACTCTGAATCCGTGGCGACGGCGATTTCCGGATGTTATGCGTCTCTCAATGGCTTGCTTCAAGTTCTGATCACTCCCGGTCAGAATTTAGTTAGAAGATTGAATCTGCCTCTACTTGAAGTAAGACGAAAATACTTTCGTCTTATATACTTTTACAAAATCCTTAACGGCCTCTCTCCTCTATCTACACTGAACCTTATCCAATACGACCAATCTAGAAGATCAAGCAGTCTTAATCATTCGAGAATAGTAGAAATTCCCTTTGCTAGAACAGTAACCGTTCTACAATCATTTATCTGCCGAACCTGCCCGAGACTGGAATTTAACCCTTCCCGAAGCTGTTGTTACATCACCCACAATAAAATTGTTTAAAACAAAGCCGAAGAACTATCTTGAGCTTTAATCGTTTTAAAACAAGGTGGCAAAGTTTATAGGTTCTCAGAACTTTTTTTGTCTTCCCAGTAGCGTGTTTTTGTTTTGTTTTTGTTTATATAATAGATGTATATTTGTGTTCCTTTTTTTCACTATCTATGATCTACTTGGGGCTACTAAAATATAAATCAATCAATCAATCAATCTGCTTCTCACAGTGAACATTCAGGCGAACATTAGGGGAAAAATCAAAAGTGTATCTTTTTCCAAATAGTAGAACATATATTTCCATCTTAGGGTATTTAATAGTATAAAAGGTTTTGTTCTTAATACTAAAGAATGTGGGAAAACACTGTCAAAAATTTGCCTAATGAAACAGTCAGTAAAAAAACGACTTTTTAGGAAATCTTGCGAAATTTAAAATAAAAGCAATACAGATTGTGGATCTAGACCCGTACAACAGTAAAGAAAGTTTTTAATTTCGCCCTTTGCTTCGTAAGAAATAAAATTATTTTTCACACCAGATGATTTCGTTTTACTAGAAAAAGTTACATAGCCTCGTTATTCAACAAAACATTTTCTAGGGGTCTCCTAGGAAACCTTTAGAAACCTTGAAAGTATTTCCACTGGATTCTGCATCACTTTTTACTTTTTTTTTAGTTTTGATTATATATGAACCCAAAATTAAAATTTAACGAAAAAATGACTTGCTGGATTTTTGGGCAGAATTGTCAAAATTTTAATAAAGATGAAACTTCTCGGTGACAAAATGACTCTTCCTAAAAACACACGTTGCCATGAGATTCAGTGACAACCCCTGTCTAGATTCATTTCTGAGGTTCTAACATGTGAAAACAGTCCTCGAGCTTCCAGGAAATCCAATGCCAGGTCTAAACGATCGAAGATGAGATTCTCGCTTGACTCACATTCTAAAGCGGATACTTTGGACTATCTATCCATGGAAAAATCAAACTATTTGTATCTCAAGTTTTTGAGCTATGATGTAGTTCTCCAGAGATCCTCTGAGAAACCTATTTTAGACAAAAGATGTCGAAAATGACTTCCGTAATGGAAAGATACAGTCAGGTCTTGGCTTCTAATTAGTGAAGACCGTAAGCATCTACCACTTTCCTGTCAAACGTTATTCAAGAAACATGCCGATCCATTCTTTTTTTTTGCCGACAATAGGTAAGTTTACAACAAGACCTGGTACCATTTGGACGGGCCTAATTTCGGCTGTTAGACCCAAAAGGCTAATGTTTTCGCAGTCAATTAAATAACACTTTCAGAATTAGTTTTTAATGCTAAATAAGTAAGTTAAAAATTAGTTTCAAGAACTTGAAAAGAACGATAATGAAAAACATTTAAATTTTTTTAAAATGAAGCGTTTTTTGAAAAATTCAACTTCAAGCTTTTAGATTTCTTGACCTTAAAAGAAACGCTTCGAAAAGCTAAACCAACTTATTTTTGCTCAGTTCGATACATTCTTCCGACCATGTATAATTTAACCGAAAAGACAATAGTGCTTACATTTCAGCACTAAAAATAACCAATTCATCTCGATTATTTCCGATAGAAAAATCATCAATTACGACCACGATAACGAATGTATCCTATTTCAATACATCTAACGTCTATTAAGGTTAACTTGTTTGTCGTGCATTTATATAATATAATTTTATCGGTGATTATCGCAAGTTTTTTAACGCGACATCTGTTAAGATGCTAGCAATATAAAACGTAGCAAATTAGAGTTCATCGAGTTACACGGAAAAATGTTATTTTTAATTTTCTGACTAAGTTTGTTAAAACGAGTTTCAGATAAAAAATTTCAGGATAGTCAAATTATAAAATAACCCTAGTGAAAGTTCTTGAAGCTAAGCAAGCAAGATCTTGAGACATTTCTTGGGGCAAGAAAACTGTTTCTTAGGCAAGAAGCCAAATGTAAATTTTCTTGGGCATTTCTTGAAGCAAGAAAAATCTTTTTGGACGATTACCTTCAAGAAAGTTATTTATTGTAGCGAAAATATTGTACAAAATTGATATCAACAAATAAAATGTGCGAAATTTAATTTCTGCCATTTTTGGTTGCGGCACTAAATTTGCCAAATGCTTTCTTCTGGGTAAAAAATGCTAATTATCAAAATTAGCGTTTTTCTCGCTAATTAACGCCTTTACCAGAAAACTATAGGATAATCGGTGGTGTTCTATCTTCTTTAGAATTTGATTTATAAGCTAGACTATCTCACTGCATTGCGAGTTCGAATCTCGATCCTGGCATTTCATCTTTTTGCTTTTTTCTTGCCAGCATGGCAAGAAATACATTTTTTGAGCAAGATGGTAAAAAGATTGTTTCTTGCACAAGAAATGGCAAGATCTTGGGACATTCTTGCCCCAAGATCTTGCTGTTTCTTGGACCCGAGAACTTTCGCTAGGGTACGGTTAAATTTAGCTCTCTTTGTGTAAATCCTTTCTACTTGTCATAAGAACCATATGAATAGTTTTTTCCCATGTGTTTCTCAATTATGGTTTGCCATATAACTGGCATTTGATCTCAGAATAAAAGTGACAGTGGTTAAATATTTTATAGCATACCTGTGAGTTTTAGCGTAAGGTAACGTTTGCCATGTGTGAAGAAAGCATTCACGCTTGGACTTTCAGAGAATGTATACCCGTAGATATTATCGCTAGGATCAGCTCGTTATTAGAGCGAATCTAGTATTCTGCGATTGAAGCGGAATGGCTGAGCCCCATTTCTCCGTGCGTCAGACAGAACCGAACTGATCATTGCTACATCCTGAAAGTCATTAACGGCAAAGCGATATTATACCGAGGATACTCACAATTGTTCTAACATCAATCTTTCATGCATTTCTCACCTCTGTGCAGTTTTATTTCCAGATCTTTATACAGCAAACATTAACTGAGTGTATACACCGAGAACGCCCCTATATTTGGTGTATTTCGCCCCTATATGATAAAGAAGAACCATTTTTGATACCTAAAATGAATGAAGAAAAATTGCAACTGTGCGAGCGACAGTAAATAGAAAGATGTTATACACCCCTATTCTCTCACTCACTGCAAGTGCTGTGTACTTACTCTGTAAATTGGTTATTTGACTGGTTTAGTTCTACTTTAAAAAGGTTCAAAAAGCAGATATAAACTGCAAAAAATTCGAGTATTCTACTTTAAGAGCGTAGTCTACTTTAAGAAACAAAGTTCCTTATATAACATGCATTGTTTTCTGTCTAGTTTAAAATGAAAAAAAACACTGATATCGTCAATCATACACGTGGTAAGAGTACACATATATTTGAGTGATTATGATAAAAATAGTACCGTTTTTGTGAAAAAATTTGACTGAAACAAAAGGTAAACACCTAGGCTTTTTCTTATCATCTATCTATAGTGTGTATCTAGGAGTATCACAAAACACGGGTTAGCAAACTAACACTACTTTGTTTTCCAGTTTTGAAAAACATTTTTCTATTATCGGCGTCAAAACACCGTGCACTTGGTTGTGTTTTGAATATCTTTTGATAGAAAAGAGCTAGAGAGCTCCGATTTTCACCAGTGGAAAGAGGAAACTTGGGGGCA